TTATTTATTTTTGAGTAGAGGGAGACAGAGCACAAGTGGGGGAGGGGCAGACAGAGAAGGAGACACAGAATCGGAAGCAGGCTCCAGGTTCCGAGCTGTCCCCACAGAGCCCCACACGGGGCTCGAACTCCCAGACCGTGAGATCATGACCTGAGCTGAAGTCGGAGGCTTAACCGACAGAGCCACCAGGAGCCCCAAAACACCACAGAATTCTTTGTCGTCACTTCCGCCTCTTACTTTGCTTAAAAGCCCCTTCTTTTATTTCCAACTGATGAACTCTTACTCATACGTCAGTACCCCACCCAGATTCACTTTTGTTCTGGGAAAGTTTTCAAGCTCTCCTTTCTCAGGAGAATTACTGGTTCCCGCTTCTGTAATCACCTCCTCTTGACTTACATGTGTCTTTGCAGCTAACACTCTGGGCCGGAATTTTCTGCTTCCGCGTCGGTGTGCTCCAATAGACAGGGAGAGACTAACGGGCAGGAATCTTCTATTTTTACCTTTGCAGCCCCAGCGCCTAGCCACGGTCAGAGTTTGGTGAATGTTTGTGGAACTGCAGTGACCATCTCTGGATAATAATGCATCCTCTTTCCATCTCCAGCATCAAGACACCCTGGGGAACTCAGAGGCCACCGGCTTCGGGAGTCTTAGGTGCCAGGTGACAGTGAGGAACGGGACTCCGGACTCTCCGGCTGTGTATTTGAAAAAGGGTAGGTTGGCTGAGCTAGATGGTTTGGGGCCTCGGGGGTTTAACTTGACACTCGTGTTTAGAGCTGCTTCCTGGCAGGGCGAGTTCAGGGAGGGGACCACACTGTCGGGACGGGGAGGCTTCCTCCATAGGTGAGGAACTAAGTGACAGAGCAGACACAAGGGGTGTCGATGAGTGGGGAGCATCCCCAGCAGGGGTGTGGACTCCAAGCTCCCTGCAGCTGCCTCTCTCACGCCTTCCCTTCCCGTTGGTCTCCACCCTCCCCAGAAGTTACCAGACCTCACAAGGGTCCAAAACCTCCAAGGACTGTCTCCCTCACCAACCGGGGCCTCCTAGAGCTGCAGCACGCTTGCATATTACCTGGGGGGTTCATAAAAATGCAGATGCTGAGTCAGTAATTTTGCCTTTCAAATAAGCTCTCGGGGAGGCCTGGTCCCCCGGCCTCAAGTTGAGTAGCAAGGGCATATCCTCGCAGTTTACAGCTCACTTCCCTAGACTTGTTACATCCACCTTCATAGAAATTCTTCAAGGAAAGCGAAACAGGGATCATAGCCCCTGTTTTACAGATGAGGAGACTGAGGCTCAGAGAGATTAAAAGAGTTTCACAAGGTCTTACTGTTAATCAGTTGGGGAAGTGGGTGAGAACCCAAGTGTGTCTGAATTCCCCTACGTGGCTTCACAGAGCGGGGACAGGGAAGCCCGCCCTCTTCTGCCCTGTCCTGCTCACCTCCATCAGGGCCAAGAGAGGTTGGGAGCCCTGGGCCACAGCTAGGCTCCCCATGAGCTGCGGCACATGGCTGGTCCCTGCTCCCCGGGCCCTCCCTCACTCGGTTAAGGGTGAGGGCGCTGGAGCCCGCCTGCCTGGGCTGACCCCACTCTGCCACCTACTAGCTGTGGCCAAGGTCCTTGACGTTCTGGGCCTCCAGTTCTCCACTGGCAGAGTAGGAGTCACAAGTGAAGCGAGGAGATTGGAAGGTTGGGGTGAGGTGACCTGTGCCGTTAGAGCATGGTCCATAGCAGGTGCAGATTTCTCAGACCGACTTTGTTCTTGCTGACACGTTTCCTGATGACCCGAGGTAAGGGCACAAACCAGAAGGCGGCCCAGGGGGCCTGACTGAGGATCTGGGGGGTGGACTGGGGAGTGGCAGGCATGCCATTCTCGCAGATCCGTAGCTCAGGTGGCCTGGCTCCCAGCAGCTTCAGACTTGTGCAACGTGGAGACGATGCCACAGTCCAGACCCAAGGCCTCGGCTGGCCTCGCACGGTCTGCAGCCCATGGCAGAGACAAGTGCGTGTGGCTTTTTGCCTCTGGCGCTTCCTTCGCCTAATGCCTCCATCCTGTCTTAGGGGAGGGCTCCCTGGGAGAGTGGAGTTCAGCAGAGCTGAGATTTCTCTCATCTGTGGCCAGGGGGGACTAGAGTTCCTGCCCCAGGGTTTCTTCCAATTATTTTTTTATCCATTACAAAACATAACAGCACATAGAGACTTTATTTTTGTCTAAGAAGGACAACCAAAATAAAACAAGTAACCCCTCCCCAAAATGTTCTTTAAAACCAACCCTTGGAGTTTCATCGCATTTTTTTTTAATGTGATTGTATTTCTTTCTAAGTGTTTGTTCTTATTTTTTGTCTCCTCATCTCTGATTGCAAGGGAAACGGAGACTCTTTCTTGTTGCCAAACTAAATCAGTGTGTTTCTTGCTTTTTTTGTTTTGTTTTGTTTTACTTTTTTTATGTTTTTTTTTTTTTTTTTTTGAGAGAGAGACACAGAGCATGAGTGGGGGAGGGGCAGAGAGAGAGGGAGACACAGAATCTGAAACAGGCTCCAGGCCCTGAGCCGTCAGCACAGAGCCCAACGTGGGGCTCGAACTCACAAACCACGAGATCATGACCTGAGCCGAAGTCGGACGTTTAACCGACTGAGCCACCCAGGAGCCCCCTACTTTTTTTTTTTTTTTTTGAAGCAGGAAATGCACAGACACAGACGTTCTGCTTCCTAGGAGAGCAAACACAGAAGGGATGTTCAGATTCCTGCCTCCTCACCTGATCAGGAACCACTTCTTTAGTTTGCGTGCCATAAAGGGCGTAAGATGTCACAGCTGAGGAGGGATATACGTGGCTTTTGAAAGCCTCCCGTGTCAGTGGTGCTTAGTAGGTAGGCAAGCACATCCATTCACACACCTGACCCTAAGCGACCTGGAAGACAGGACACCTTGGTCCATCTCCCAGTACCATTCTGTCTCCGTGCACCTAAAAGCTGTGGCTGGGAACGTGGAGGAGAAGCCATGTGATCTTTCAGAATCAAAGGAAGACAGTGCTCAGAGGTTCCTTCTAGACGGCCTAGCCCAACCCCCTAGTTTCACAGAAGAGGTCTAGAAAGAGGAAGCACCTTGCCCCTGCATCAGGGTGGAACCTGGGACTTCAGGGCATAACCGCTTCCAGCTCTGAGATTTCCCCCAGACCTGCTCTGTTGTCTAGGACTCGACCTCGTGTGGACCAGCTCGGCACTGGCACTTTTCGTAAATATTTACTGAGGCGGGATATGCACTTTGGCAGGCACTGTGGATGCAGCTGTGAACAAAACAGACAGAATGACTGGTGAAGGAATCGATCCAGCAATAAGATCATTTCCGAGGGTTCTAAGCGCTTTCGTGAAAATAAAACAGGGCATTGGGTCAAGACAGACACGGACATGGGCTACTAAGGCGGTCAGGTTCACGGAGACAGGAAGTAGAACAGTGGTTACGAGGGACGGGGGAGGGGATGGACGGTCAGTGTTGGATGGGTGCAGAGTTTCATTTTGGGCTGAGGCAAAATAATAGAGACGGATGGGAGTGATGATTGCACAACAGTGTGAAGGTACTAATGCCATCAAAGTATCCACTTAAGATGGTTACAATGGTCAATCTTATGTGACATGTATTTTATGACAACTTAAAAAGGAAATGAAAGAAAAACGTTAATTGCTAGAGGCTGGCCAGGGAAGGAGCCTCGGAGGAGAGGACGTTGGAACTGAGACCTGAGGCAGAAGAAAGAAGAGGCACTTACATGAAGACCTCAGGGCAGGAGGTCCCCGGTGCCGGGCAATATGGCGGATACCGGGGGTGGGGCTGAGAGATAGCCCTACAGTCCAGGGCTGCGGTCCCATGGAGCTTTCTTCAGTGATGAGCATGTTCTATAAACCCTTGCTGTCCAAAATGGCCACACGTGGCCACCAGCACTTGGAATGTGGCTACTGCAACATGAATTTTGGAGAACTGAAACAGACATTTAAATAGTCACGTATGGCCAGCGACTATAGGGTTGGCCAGCAGGGAATGGCTCTGGGGAGTCTCAAGCTGGTTACGGAAGCAGACACTGTCTCGAGTAGCTTAAATACGGGGTGAAGGATGACGGAGATGATGGAGATGAAGGAAGCTTAAATACGAGGTGAAGGATGAAGGAGATCCTTGAGATCTAGGGAGGGAGAAACGAATTCTAACTGTAAAAATCAGGGAGACGGGGCCTTGAAATGAAGCTGAGTTTTGGTGACAAGGATGGGCTTTTCAGGCTCAGCCAGTGAGAGGGCGGTCAGGCAGAAGGGGCGGAGTGAAGCAATGTGAGGGGGCAGAAGATGTGGCCTTCTGGAGACCTGGAAAATGCTGAGCATCAGCCAAGTGGCAGACCCATTGCTCAACCCGTTTATGTACGGTCTATCTTTTTATCCCCTCAACATCCAGGAGGATGACACACTGTCATCCCCATTGTACAGAAGGGGAAGCTGAGGCTCTGAGGTGCCACAAGGATTTGCACCCAAATCTGTCTCATTCCAAGGCTTGTGCTCCTGGGTTCCTCGCTCTAAGCCTCTCCACTACTTCCGGGGGCCTGAGTCGGTTAAGTCCTGGTGAACGGCAGGGTGGAGGGGAGGTCAGGATGGGGAAGGCCTTCCGTCTGCCACCCACCAGCTGTGTAAACCCAGGCAGGACCGTTCACTCGTTCAGGCTCTCTTGCCTCACATGTGAAAGGGACATAATAATAGGATAGACATTTTGGCCGTAGATCTATATATATCCCTCCCTGAAAAATCTCGTCTTTGCACAATGATGCTCTCAAAATAGCAGGGCTTATGGGAAAACTAGAGTGAGGGACAAGCAAAACCCAAACCTTGCCATTTTTAACTGAGGACTGACAGAAGCTATCACAATCCTATTTAAAATGCTAGCACAATTTTTAAAAAGACATCGAATCCATCGCAGAGCGACGCCTCAGTAAATGCTAAAAGAGCCACGTAGCTTGATGTGGGAGGGAGGAGGGAAGGGGGGGAGTCTGCCGAGTTAGGGAGGGGAAAATTGGAATTGTCGCTTTGGAGGCAGAGACGGTGGCCAGAGGAAGAACGTTGGCCAGTAGGCGCTGTGTACCCTACCGTGTTTCTTGCAGCCGCGCTCCGCTGTGTTTGCGTGTGCTGTGTGCACCTGCCGTTTGACGTGCCGGGAAAACCGTAGATCGACCGATGTGACTCCAGCGTCACAGCTTCTCGCCCGGCCCGCGTTGGAAGCACAGAAGCGCGTGTGGTAGCGGGCAGGGCACGCTGAACCTCACCCGTAGGGCAGTGAAGACGAAGTGAGGTCGCGTAGGCAAATCACGTGTCACGGTGTCTGTGTGCACAGTTGGAGCTCAATAAATGTTTGCTGGTAATGGTAGAAACAATAACAGGTGTCACTTCTCCACGCATCCCCTCTAGCACTTCAAAGATGTGAGGGGCGTCTGTCCAGGTCTGCTGGGCGCCCCCTCCTTCACGCATGGGAAATCCAGAAGTTTCGCGGCGCAGAGAGCGTCGTATCTTGGACTCGATGCTGCCCCTGGCCCAAACGGAGGGTCCGTTGTCACGTGACCCGTAAACTGTGGCAGACTCCGAACTGTTTTCAGATCTTTAAAAAAAACTTTTCTCTGCCTTTTCCCCAGGCCAAGAATTCACCACAACAAGCCGGAAGAGCTTCAAGCCAACGGGCTTCCAAAACGCGCTCTCTGGAACGTACGGGGCCGTCGTGTTCTCAGCCTCCGGAGCCGATCTGACCGGGGCTCATCTCTTCTGTCTTCTGGCGTGCGACCGTGATTCGTGCTGTGATGGCTTCATCCTTGCGCAGGTCCAAGGAGGTAACTAATGTGGCAGTGAGGACGGGGGCCCTCCGGTGCCAGGACCCGTGGTCTGACAGGAATAAGCAGGGTCGCGGAAGCCAGGATATACAACTTGGAGACGGCGTGGGGAGTCACAGCACGAGGTGACCGCTTAGCTTAGGCAGACCCGCGGGCTTCAGTAGAGGTGGTTTTGATTCTAAGAAGAATTGTAAGCCTTTGAAAGTATTTTTTTTTAATTAAAAACAATGTTTTTTTGAGAGAGAGTGTGAGTGGGGGAGGGACAGAGAGAGAGAGAGAGAGAGAGAGGGAGACGCTCTGAATCCTAAGCAGGCTCCAGGCTCTGAGCTGTCAGCACAGAGCCCGATGCGGGGCTCGAACCCATGAGCTGTGAGATCATGACCTGAGTTGAAGTCGGACGCTTCACAAACTGAGCCACCCAGGTGGCCCGCTAATGACAGTGTGAAGGAAAGGAATGCCATGATCAGATACGAATTTTGACACTTTGTCTTGAGAAGGTGATAGATGGGGAGTTGGAGTAGATGTGGAGTTCAGTGAGGAGTTACACCCTGCCGTCCAGGTGAGAGGGGGTAGCTTGGGCTGAGGGGACAGCAGTGGAGATGAAGAAAAGGGGACAGATTCAAGGTATCAATAGCAGACAAACCGACAGGACTTTGGACATGAGTATTGAGGACCATTCTTGGCTCTCCAACTTGTTCACCTAGATAGCTTGCTTGTGTAGTGAATGATGGGAGATGTTGGGTTTGGTAACGGGAGACAGAGATTTGGGAAGGTCATGAACCCATTTACACTGTGCTAAGTCTGAGACGCCTTTAAGACAGTCACAAGGTGGGACTGAGCTTTTGGGGACGAAGATCCAAAGCTCAGAGGGGGAGTCGGGGCGGGAGATGGAAAGGCGTGCGTTCCCGGTGTCGAGGAGGTATCAGAACCGTGGGTATGGGTGGGATTTCCTTGGAGGCGGGCCCGGGGTGAGAAGATCAAGGGTGATGGGGGCCGACCCCTGGTGAACACCTACATGATGGGGAGAACCTTCGAAGAAGACGGAGAACTAGCGGCCAGACAGCAGGGAAGAGACCCGGGAGGGTGGTGCCTCACGGAAGCCGTGGTGCAGAGGGGTGACACGTGGAGGAATTTTGTCAACAGACTTGAATGCTGCCTGGGGTTCAAACAGGGTGTTTGCTGAAAACGCTGAGGCTAGCTCCCTGCGGTCTGCGGGGGCCGAATGAGAAAGTGTTGCAGTGGTAGGGCAGGAGCCTGGACTGGACCAAGTTAGAGTCTAAAATTCCTTTTAGGCCTGATGCTCTGTGATTATATGACGTGCATTCGTGTTAGTGTTTAGGTAAGCAAAAGTATATGCAGAGAGAGAGAGATTAAACCCACACAGACACGTGTAAGCATGGACATGTGTGTCAGCGTGTGTGTGTGGGAAACACTGCGGTTCAAATCAAGGATGCCTTCTGCCTTCTTTTCTGAGGATACCGCAATTTCCCCAGATGCTCCATTACTCACCAAACCATATGGTTTTTCGAGTTGGAAGGTTCGTTTCGCTTTCCTTAGAATCCTATATGGAAGAATTATTGTGTTCCATGGAACAGTGAGCCCACAAAATCCTTTTTTCCATGACATTTCTGGCTAGCAGCTCGCTTGCTTTTTCCTCCAAGCGTAACCTGTGATCCGTGATTTATGCCCAGCTGACCGACCACCTCACAGCGCCGCGAGTTAAGCTCTCCTCGAGACACACATAAAACATCAAGGCAGATGTTTTCCCCAGTCTCGCCCGACGGGCAGATTTGGAGCTTTAAATTATGAAAGTGCTGGCTGGGTCTGCCGATGGCCGGGAACAGAATCCTGCTACCGCGGTCTGGAAAGTCATTTAACTTTCTGGTGGATTCCCCCCTTCCCCCTGCCTCAGTGGCTTTGTTTCCACTGACTAGTAAGGACAATTCATGAGGCTTCTGTACCTACGTGTCAGTGGGGGCTTCTTGGAAGCGGGGCTCAGAGGGCCTCGCGCGGCTCGTGGTACACGGGCGTGTACCCGAAGCGGGCAGTGTGTGACCAGCAAAAGGGACTTCCAGTCTCTAGCTGGCACCCATGTCTCAGACACACGGAGATCTCGTTGACACTTTAGCACTAAAGGACAAAGCTGTGTGGGTTTCGCTTTCCAAGGTCTGGAGCAGAAGGAAAAATCTACCCGCCTCTTGTTTAATCCCATCAGTCTGCGTCTTGGCTTGTGAGAGGATGACCCCGGTGCTCAGACTTCCTCTGGGCCCTCAGCGGGCTCCTCCCGGCCCCCACTGAGGTCCCAGGCCCTCGCTGCCGGCTGGCTATTCCTCAGTAGCTAGCAAAACCAGTCCCCTTTCCCATGCCTCTGCTTCCTCATCCGTGGAATGAACTGGGCTCACGAGGCGAGGGATTCTAGAATCCATCCGGGCACCAGAATCACCTGCGGTGTTGGTTACAGATGCTAATTCCCAAATGTCACCGCCTCCCACCCCTCCAAGACCTACAACCTACCCACCCACCTACAGAGTCAGAAACCCTGTGGTTGGTGCTGAGGAACGAGCATTTTCAGAACTCTTCCTGTGCTGTCGATCGGATCGGTCGAAGCCCCCTGGTTTGAGAGCCACCAGTCAGAGGGCCTCGAAGGTGGTGTTTTACACAGAGGCGCCCTGCTGTTCTTGCTGCTGCTGATTTTTTGGCAAGTGCAGGTTAAAAGTGGCCAGTGGGGGGGTGGGGGGGGGAGGACAGGACGTCAGATTCATAAGGCAGGCGTCTGCGGCATCTACTTTGGGGAAATTTGGTGACAGATGAGTTAGAAATGCTATCTGGCTTTGGGTAGAAATGAGGATAAGGAGGATGGAATGGCATTACGGAATGAGTATTTCCTTTTTTTTTTTTTTTCAGGAGAATCTTAACAACTATACTACCTAATGGGATTATTGATCAAAATGATATATAGGGGCACCTGGGTGGCTCCGTTAAGTGTCTCTTGAATTCGGCTCTGGTCATGATCTCACGGTTCGTGGGACTGAGCCCCACGTCCGGCTCTGCACTGACAGCACAGAGCCTGCTTGGGATTCTCTCTCTGTCTCTCTCTCTCTCTTTCTCTTTCTCTTTCTCTGCTCCTTCCCTGCTCATGTGCTCACTCTCTCCCTCAAAATAAATAAATAGACATTAAAAAAAAAATAAAACTTCGGATATTTATATATTCAAGACAAAATGGTCTGGTGCCTACCCTAGTTAGAGATATCTCCCTGCACGTCCTGGACACGCGGGCACACAGCCTGTGCTTGAATGCCTCCGGAGACGAGGAGCTCGCTTCCTGATAGGGAAGTTTGTGCTGTTGGTGCAGGGCTCTTGGTTTTTCATAGTTCCTTACTTTGAATCTGAGTCCCTTCAAGGTTGATGCGTGTGTGTGCGTGTGTGTGTGTATGTGAGGGGTGGTGGGGGCCTGCTGTTTATTTGCTCCAGGCCTCAAAAAAGCTCTGCGTGCGGTGGGGGTAGAGGAGGAGGACAGAGGATTCTGGCACCGAGACCCCCAGTGGTGTTGAGGTGTCGTCACTGCTGCTGACCCACGAAGAAGGCCTCTGACGCACAAGGAAAGTTCGGCAGTCGCACTGGTGGCTCTTCCTTGGGCAATTTGCCCCAGTGGCAACTGCAGGCCTATCAGGGAAAAGTAACCCAGTTGAAGACCAGGCTCCTGAGTTCCAGGGTCCCTCTGTGCTCCCGAGGAATTGTTACCTGTCCCCATCCTCCAAGCCTCTTGGGGCACAGACGTGAGTCCCTGGTGGGCGGGGGCCTTCCTGTCTCTATCACGTCAGCCTCTCTTCCCTCTTGTGACTCTACAGGCCCCCTCATCTGCGGGTTGCTGAGCTCCCCCGACGTCCTGCTTTGCAATGTCAAAGACTGGAGGGACCCCACGGAAGCCCGGGCTAATGCCACGTGTCCGGGTGTGACATACGGCCAGGGGAGCCGCCCGGCGACACTGCGGCTGGGAGGCCAGGAGTTCGAGAGTAAGTCTCCGCCTTCGGCTTACGTTCCTTCGGAAAGAATTTTCCTCAGCAGCAAGGTCTGCTGCCCCTCCCCTGAGAGCCCTTCTTGTACCCTGAGAAATTTCTCCTTCTGAAAAGAAACTGGACCAAAGATGCTGCATAAAACTCGCAGACCCCAGGGTGGCTGGAGGGGGGGGTCTGGCTCTGCGGGGAGGCTACTCTGTTGCAGGTGGTCCCGGTACCAGCCACACTGCCCATTCTAATTCCATGGGTGCAAGAGACTGTGCCCCTCCCCCCCCCCCCCACATGGGCTCCATTGACAGAAATCACCATCCGGCCCGTGCCTTCCTCTTCTTTCTTTCAGAAGCTCTTCCAACCTTTCCCACAAGCCTAGAAGCCTTAGATCTAGAAGTCGCTCTGAGATCGTTTGCCCGCCCCCTCATCTCACAGGAATAGGCATTAGCGAGGCGGCCAGTCAGATCTCCTCTCTGCTCACCCCAGCCCTGCCCTCTCGGCAGGTGTCCCTCAGGGAAGAGTCCTGAGCTGGAGACTGACCACAGCAGCAACACTCAGTGCGGTCAGGACCGGCGGGCTCAGCATCACCAGAAGCTCCTTAGAAACACAAGTTCTCAGGTCCCGCCCCGGACCCCCAGGGTGGCCCCAGGAGTGTGTTCTAACCGGCTGTCTAGGATCATGCTATGCCTGCCGAGTTTGAGAAGCGTGAGAAGCACTGACGAGGTGACCTGGGAGCTTCCTTCCGACCCGAACAGTCGGAGTTTATAGTGAGAACAGGGCCCAGGGATCCCTCGCTCCCGGTTCCTCTGTGAGGCTGGTGGCAGCCTGGCTCCCTCTCTGTTTTCCTGCCAGCACGTGGTCCCAGCCCACGCTCTGCGACGGGAGGGGTGAAAGCCGCGCGGGTGTCGGCTGGACAGGGCAGGGAAGGGGCTGCGGGGAGGTCAGAGAGCCCTTGGAGATTCCTGTCTCTACAGGACGTGGCGGCCACCGTCTCCTGCCTCCAGGGGAGGCCTGCAGGACCTGTTGCTCAGTGGACGGCAGCTCTTGGGGTTCTAATGGCAGACAGCTTGCCACCTCCTCCAGCAGCCCTCCCTGACTACCCTGCAGAGTTTGTTGCTTCCTCCGCCGCAGAGCATGACACACAGTTTACGAATCCCTCTGTCGGGCAGTGCGGGGGGCCGTGCGGGGGGCAGTGCCCTGCAGGTGTGCCTCTGCCTGTCCACGGGTCTCACTTGCCAGCCGGGAGTGTGCCTGTGGTGGTGAATCCCAGCTTGGGACCCCGCGTGTGTGACCTGGGGCCGGTCAGTAAAGGTCTTCAGGCCTGATGGCTTGGCTACAAAATGGGGTGAGGACAGGACCCGTCTCCCTGGGCTGTGGTGATGGCGGAAAGGAAGATATTGGCGGTAACACAGACGTGTCTCCCATCGTGCGTGCGATGAGCCAACCCCTGCTCTAAGGCCCCGGCCACTGCTAAGGCACGTACCCCCCACACGGTGCTTGTGGGGAGGCACTGTTACCAAGGCTCCCCGTTTTACAGCTGAAGAAACTGAGGCACACAGAAAGCGAAGTCTTCTTAAGGGCTCAGAACTTCCAAGTAGAAGGGCTGGGACCCGACACGGGGTGATGTGGTTCTAAAGCTGATGGGCTTGCCCACTTCTCTGTAGTGGACGCTGCGGATAATACAGCTGTTTGAGGACTTTGTAGGGTGTCTGACACTTAGTACTGATGTTAGATACTATTGTTTTCATTCTTAAAGTTGTCACTGCGTTTTGCTATTTTAAAGACCTGGACCGTGTCTTACTAATTTCTGGATCCACAGCGTCAAGCATGAAACCTGGTGTAGAGAATACACATAATACCTGTGGAGTGACTATTTACCAAAGCCTGAACAAAAAATATTGCCTAATTAGGTGGGATTCCATGAGGCTTAGTTTTCTGGGGGGTAAATAAAATCAAACAACTTATTTATAGGATAGACAGTGAACATATGGTATCCATTATTCTGAGAGGTAGCCCAGGGTGAAAACAAGCATTTGAAGAGAGACGTATGATATGTTTATGGGCAGTAAATCCAGAGTGAATTGCTTACCATGGAGCATGTGCTTGGTGTGTGCCCAAGAAATAAAGAATGTGTCCTTGTCTGGCCTCCCTGAGAAGGAGTGATTACCAAATGACTTTTGAAGTTTCGGGTTCTTTCAGTGCTCTGTGTGTCTGTGTGTATTTTGAGGTGCGGGCAAAGGTTTCTTTTTTGTTTAATATTTTTCATGTTTTTTTTTTTTTTTGAAAGAGAGAGAGCTTGAGTGGGGGAGGGGCAGACAGAGGGAAAGAGAGGATCTGACGTGGGCTCCGAACTAACAGTAATGAGGGGCTCGAACTCACAAGCTGTGAGATCACGACCTGAGCCGAAGTCGGACGCTCAACCGACTGAGCCACCCAGGCGCCCCTGATGTAGGCAAAGTTTTTCTTTTTTATTTGTTTATTTATTTTGAGAGAGAGAGACAGAGAGAAAGAGAGAACATCAGCAAGGGATGGACAGAGAGAGGGAGAGGAAGAAGGAGAGAGAGAATCCTAACCAGGCTTTGCACAGTCAGTGCGGAGCCAGATGCAGGGCTTGAACCCAGGAACCACAAGATCATGACCTGAGCCAAAGTCGGACGCTTAACCGACTGAGCCACCCAGGCACCCGTGGTGTGGGCTAAGTTTTACGAAGGGTGTGCTTGGATGGGGATTTCAGGCACCCTGAGGTATATTCATGATGTTCCAAATTAAGAGTTGCCTTATTACACAGACTGATCAGGAGGCCCTCTCCAACTGGGAACAGCAGGGCACAAATCTTCCTGTCGTGGTAATTGGTCAATTCTAAGTACAATTAATCCCTGGGAAAAGAAATGAGATTTAAGTTCTTACTAAGATGTGAATAGCTGATAGATTCCCTTTTCTAAGAACAGATATTGATAGAAGGAAAGAGGAGTGAGGATTCCATGGGTCCAGACGGCAGCAGGGGAGGCCACAGCAAGGATCGAAAGCACATGGGAAGGAGCTGGGGACAATCCAGACGAGCTCTGCCCCTCTCAGCCCCTGCCTTCCCATTTAGCCATTGGTTAGATGGTCTCGGCAATACACACTCTGGAATTAGACCCCGGATTCAAATCCCAGTGTGGCTGCCTTTACTCCTTGTATGACCTTTCTGGGCCTTGGCTTTCCCAGTTATAAAGTGCAGATAATGATGACTTTGGGAAGGGTTGGAAGGATTAAGGGAGGAGTGTGCGATGAGGCACTGGAGTGATGCTCGCAGCGAGGTGGGCACTCAGCAGATACTAGAGATTATGGAGCAGTGGCCTGCCCTGAAAATACTGGACACCAATTCTGCTTTTCTCCTCCAGCTCCGCGGCCTCGCTCGAATGCACATTAACCTCTCCTAGCCTCAGTGTCTCCATCTGTAAAATGGGGGTATGCTTTTTTTGTATGTTACGGAGTGAAGTGCTCATATTCCCTCTAGGCCATAGTTGAAGGCATTGCTTTCTGAACCTCAAGTCCCGGGTCCCCTGACGGCACATCCCGCAGAGGCACCCTGTAGGACTTCTGGTCCGGACGTCCGCTTTCATCCGTCAGCTCGCGGGTCCTTCGAGGGGGCTGGTTCAACAGCTGGCCTGGTTAATGGAGAATCAGCCTTCACGTGTATAAGCGAGTTGATTGCCATTTGTGGGAAATTGTAACCCAGTGGAATACACTGAATCAGACGGGAAGCACATCAGAATCCGTGTTGCGTTTTGCGAAACGCTTTCACACCGAGCTGCTCACTGATGCTTTTGACACTTGGGGGAGGCAGCTGGTCGCATCACAGTTGTACGCACGAGAGTGCAGTCACAGCTGTGATGTGGTGTGCTTAAGGAAACTGTCATTGCTGGCACCTGCACCTTAAACTTGGGAGACCAGAGCTATCAGCGAAAGCTCTCCCCACCGCCCCCTTGGTGCCACTTGCTTGGGTTACTTGAGTGATTCCAGCAAATTAAGGAGTCCAGTGATGAAGAATGTTGCTCCTCGGCCATCTCTCTGGGCTTGTCTCCTCCAGACATTGGGTCATTAATGTCAGCTTCTTGCATGTTCTACTTTGAGGATTATTTAAAAAAATTTTTTTAATGTTTCTTCATTTTTGAGAGAGAGAGAGAGAGAGAGAGAGAGAGAGAGAGAGAAGCGAGCATGAGTGGGGGAGGGACAGAGAGAGGGAGACAGACAGACAGAATCTGAAGCAGGCTCCAGGATCTGAGCCTGACACGGGGTTCCAACCCACGAACCATGAGATCATGACCTGAGCTGAAGTTGGACAACCAGCCGACTGAGGCCCCCAGGCGCCCCCAGAATGCCTCTTTAGCACGTTTCTCTTCATTTGTTAAGCCAAACAAATATCAGGTTCACATCAAACAAATACACCCACAAAAAACCCCCACAAATTACGGAGAGGCCGTTTTATCCAATATGAAGGCCCAGTGCTTTTCCTGGTTGTGAGATTTCTCTTTCCCGTCATCAGATTTCTGTTTAAACATCTCCCTCAAGATCAGAACCCACCCACGGTCGGCATCTCCCGCGTTGCCAGTGGGCATCTTTGGATGTTTCAACTACTTGGTGCTGGCTGGGTCCATCTTCCCTTTTCTAAGAGGAAAGTCTTGGAAAGCTCTGGAATGGCTTATGGCTCCTTTCTCACAATGTCTTGAAGTGCAAATGAATGAAAACAGGCAGATTAAATGTCCCCTAATGTCCATAGAGACTTGACATTTGACAGGAAAACACAGGCCTTGGCAGAACACCCCTGGCTTTATCCTGAATCCCAAAGGCTTCATGCTTTGGGCAATGGTGAGGCTCAGGCTGATGGCTGGCATCCCCTTCGCAGGAGTCTGTTTTGTATCAGCGATTGCTATTGTCTCGGGGTGCCGGGAGCTTGGTGGAAAAACTTAACAGTGCCTCTGTGATGCTCTTTGTCACCAAATGCATTTGGAGTTGATGTCTGATGAGCATCTATAAATAGGCTGACCCTCCTAGTTATTTACAGGAGCTGTCCATGTGCTTAGCACTAAGCAGAGCCTGAGACAAGGATTCGAGAGTGCAGTTTGTTTAGGAGGCGCAAAGAATATACGGTGGGCTCTGAAACCTGGGCTTTCTGGCTTAGGACGCTGCCCACTCCCAGGCTGTAGATTCAAACTGAGCCCCCACTCCCACCCCAGACACAGCACATGACCTCTGCAGAAGTGTTTTGAAGTATATTAAGACCACACAGCACCCATCAACCCCCAAGAATCAGGCTCCGGGCCAAACCCCAAAACTTCTAAATGTGTGTGCGTTCTTGCTGCCTTGATTACCGAGAGAGAGGTGATGAGTCAGTGTGGAGCCCTGTTTGTGTAACAGGGATGTTCTAACTCAACTATCACGGAAGGAATGGGACAAATGTCTGGACAGTTAAAACTGTTTTTGCTGGGGCGCCTGGGTGGCGCAGTCGGTTAAGCGTCCGACTTCAGCCAGGTCGCGATCTACGCCCGGTCCATGAGTTGAGCCCAGCGTCGGGCTCTGGGCTGATGGCTCAGGCCTGGAGCCTGTTCCGATTCATCTGCTCCTCTCCTCCTCCCCGTTCATGCTTCTCTCTCTGCCAATAAAATAAATAGCTTGAAAAAAAAATTTAAAAAAAAAAAAAAAATGTGTTTTCTTTGAAGACACTGCTTGATGGCTCACCCGTCAGTTAAACGTCCGACTCTTGATTTCCACCCCGGTCGTGATCTCACGGTTTGTGGGTTCATGGCCCTTTCCATGCCGGGACTGACAGTGCAGAGCCTGCTTGGATTCTCTCTCCTCTCTTGCCACCCCCTCCACTCTCTCTCTCTTACATGCACAAATAAACTTAAAGAAACCTGTTTATGTTAGACTATTGCCTTATGAAGAAAAGGAGGCATAACGTTGCTGCTTCCGTTTCTGTTCCTCCTTGCAATCAATCATGCCTCTGCAGCAGGGACGATGACTGCCGGTGTGGGTGATACAAAGATGAAAGAAGGCCCGTCCCAACCTCGGAAAGCTCTAGTACATTCAAGGACAATTACAGTCAAGTGAGCTTAAAGCAGAGGTGTTTGTGGTGCTCAGGAGATCCAGGAGAAGTAAAGGAACCAGCCAGGAGTGGGGGCCTTCCTAGGACAGAGGCTTACAAGATCCACGATTCTTTTTTTTTTTTTTTTTTTTAAGACTTTTATTTTTTATTTATTTCTTGGGACAGAGAGACAGGCATAGGCCGGGGAGAGGGCAGAGAGAGAGAGGGGAACACAATGAGATGGGAAGACAGGCTCCAGGCTCCTGAGCCATCAGCCCGAAACGCGACGCAGGGCTCCGAACTCACCCACAGGCAGAGATCGTGACCTGAAGCATGTCTAGGCATAACCGACTCATGCCCAGGTGCCCCAAACAGATCCTGATTCTTAAAGGTTGAATGGAGGGTAACCAGGTGGCAGGGGACAGGAGTTCTAAGCAGAGAAGAGAAAGCACTGCCGCAGTCTAGAGCCAAAAAAGCCGGTGTTAGGTGGGACTGGGAGAAGATGGGCACCTCCTGCAGGCCTTAGAGTGGCTGCTGCCTGCCTGCACTTCCCAAGAACCTGATGGCCAGGAGGAATTCTGACAATATGTGCAGCAGCTCTTGCAAAACGAGGTAAGTTACTTCGGGAAGGATACCCGGGTGCTGTGTGGCTCGGTCGGGGGTGGGGGTGGGAAGGAGTCAAGGGAACCAGTGAAAATCTAATCGTGTCAAAAGATGTGTTAAAACTGTGTGAAAGGGTGGTGGGTCCCTTGGCAGGGGCGGATCTGAGACTAGTTTAGGCAACAGGTTGGTTGGATGTGGAGACTGATGCAGGGGAGGAGGGTGGCTCCTAGAAGGTGAGCAGGAAGGAGGGGGCGCCATCGACCGATCTGGAAAGATGGAGGAGGTAAGTGTGGATATGGACATGGGGTGGGAGATGGGGCAGACAAGAGAGAGCGCAGAGCCATTCTTTTCGTCCCCGTGTTTCCTGCGCACCCCTGTGGAGACCGGGCAATCATATCCGTAGTTAAAATGACCAAGGCATCATCACTTTCTCTGTGTGACTTACAGACACCTACGTGCCAATCTTAGATGTTGGTCGGGTGGTTTTCTGGATCGACCAAGGTGCTCAGTGTTCGTGTGCTGAATTTACCTGAATTCCATTGGATTGAGCTGTGTTGAAATGGGCAAAAACCGAGGATGAGATTAAGACTCGCCATATTTTCCAGGCTAGAAGTCACAGGGCTCCTTTGCCTCGAGATGAATAAAAAGTGGGTCAGAAGGTCCCATTCCCATCACAGCGCAGTGCATTCTGGGCACCCCCCCCCCCCAGTACAGTGTGAGATCTGTGTGCACCTGTGTGGAGCACCTGTTCTCCTCCGGGTGATGGAGGGCACTGTGATTTTCCCTGCCGCTCCATGAAGGCAGGACCTACTCAGCACACATCGTCAAGATATGCTGGACCGCATGAGAGTCTCACCAACTCACCCAAGTCAGAAATGGGAACTGCCGAGTGGTGAAGAAATCCCTGAGAGATTGTTGCTCTTGGGAAGAAGCAGGGGTGTGGATGTGAACTAATACTTGTTGAGGGTCCCCGATCCAAATGCAAGTACCCCTCATGGTAAAGTACGTCATGAAGTGGTCCTTGGTTTTAGTCTTAGGTTTGAGAGCACTAAAGCACCCTTCTGCTAAGATGCGTCTCCTGCTTTTACAGGATAAGTAAGAATCCTAATGGATGGCCGACGCTATTTTGAAAATTGTATTGACTTTATTTACTTATGTTATTGACATTTATGTTACCAAAAGCATATATTTGTATATCTATATTTACATCTTCCTTCCCTCCTTCTTTCTTCTCTCTCCCTTCTTTCTTTCTTTCGTTCTTTCGTTCTTTTGTTCTTTCGTTCTTTCTTTCTTTCTACTTCCATCCTTTTGAAGAGTCAGTATGCCAAATATATTTAGTGTAAAAAGACTTAAGACACAAATTCCCTAATTTCTCTTGGGACAAAGTCCCCTAGTCTGACCTTCATCATAAGCAAATGTGATCAGGAAAGATGGCGGAAGCAGAACAGATCGAGCCCCTGCTCGGTGTTGGTGTTGGAGGAGTATACAGTGGCTCCTCTGTACTGTGTAGAGTGAATTTCACATTTTCAGAGATCCAGGTCTCTATCTTCCAGATATCATAGGTTTTAACTTCCCCAAAGTTTTATAAGTGACAACCACCCTCTGAAGAGGGCTTTGAGAGAATTATGAGTAGGTCTTCTAAGGAAACATGAAATCCCAATATTGGGTAGCGTGAGATGTTCTAGAATCATTATTTATTCCCAGTTTAGCAGGAGAACCAAGTGGAAGTGCAGCTCAATATTTTTGATTCACCCCCGTGGCCCAGCATGGGGTGGCCACGCCCCATGGGAGGGGCAAGCATGGTAATTCTTGGTGGGGAAGGGCTCATGACTTTAATAGCTGAATTTCCCAAATAGGTCACTGTTTAATTGAACTTCTTTAAACCTCCTTAAACACCTCTCTAAACACAAGAACCTTTACAGATGTTTGCCATTTTGGAGGGGCAGAATTCTAAAATATGTTATCCTCTCTTTGGTGAGGTGATTGAAAGCATGGGGTTTGGAGCCTAGAAAGTGGTGTTTGAATTCTGGCATTGACCTCTCTGGATTTTGACCTTCACCTGCAAATTAGGGGCAAAAAATGCCTACCTATGAGGTCTAAATGAAGCAATATCTGGAAAGTGCTCCTCATAGTGTTGGGCAAATGGCAATGATGCTTAATAATAATTGGCTATAATAATATGTCGTTCTTAATAATAGTGAACAAGACGTGATCACTTCTTCATGTCTCAGACTGTGAGCCAGGTGTTTCCTGCCATGTGTGGGGTTGTCTGCCTCAGAATCTGTACTTTCTGAGCTCTTTTCTTAGCCTCTCATAACACAGGGGGATTGGCAGGGTCTTAGGGCTGAGCGGAGGCAAGAGAGGCTGCCCTGACCATCAAGGAATGGTGTGGCAAAGCCGGTCTCATCCAGGGGTGATGCCGGAGGAGTGTCGTTTGGCAGAAAAGGACACTGAATAATATTAGTAACAAATTAAATAATGGCAGCTACCAACCATAGGGTGCACATCAAATGTTGAGGATACAGAAGAGACTTCACAGTATTCCCAGCCTCCCATCATCAGCCCCATTTTCCCCCAAGGCCAGAGCCTCAGAGGACTGAAGTGACAGGGATGATGGATGCAGCCCCAGGGTCTCCGTGGACTTGGTTCTCTTTTGGCTAATCCCCGGTTCCTTCGGTAATATTCTGTCTCATGGTTTCCTGGCCTCTCCCCACGACCGTCTCTTTGATGCCCTGAGCCAGACACCTGGGGTCTGACCAGCTCTGGCTTTGTACCAGAGATCTGGAAGATGGCTCCACGAGGCTCTCTCTTTGAGTGCGCCTCGATGGGAAATAGAGTTCTCAGGCAAGAGGGGCCCGTGTGGGAGCGGTGGGTCAGCGTGGCCATGGCGGGTCCCCCGTGAGAACAAGCACATCGAAGCTCATGGAAATAAATATCTCCCTTTGCAGTTCCGGCAGCCCTGGAAGGAACTCAGGATGCCGTTACCAGCTTCCAGCAGGTTTATCTCTGGAAAGGTGAGCTGTGGATATGTGTTTGGGGGAGAGGGAGCGGGACCCTGATTACGCGAGACTGTCTGGCCCCACCTCTCGTTCACAGGGCTCTCACTCTGCTCCCCAGAGAGACAACTGTAGAGATTTGCTTTCCAAGTGAGGGCTCTGTGTGGCATAGAAGGGTTCGGCTCTCATCAGATAAGATACCAAACCTTAGAAAGAAAAATGGAAAGTGTGGAAACCCCAGAGGGGATGGGGGAAGGAAGCGTGGCTTCCTGTGAGGTCACGTTCGCTGCCCACAAGCTGCCCTTGCTACAGGATCGGAGCTCTGAGGCCCCAGCAGACTAGGGAGGCATTTCCCCAGGGGCCACGGCCACGGCCACGCTGAGGTCAGGGTGAGGGGACAGGACACGTGGTGGTGCCTTGACCCTGCTTACACGGAGTGCTTCTGGTAGTGCCCATTTGGCATCTCCTGACTGCTTCGTTTGCCTCCTCTGAGTTTACCCAACGTCGACCAAGTGCCTACTCAGAGCCCGGGACACGGGATGGTTCAAGACATCATGGAGGAGAGGAGTCTGAGTGAAGTAGGATGAGAGGGAGAGCTAAGGCACAGCTTTCACTGTGGGGGCTCCAGCCTCGGGCAGTGGACCCTTACAAGCCATGGCCATGGGGCTAGCAGGAGGGTGAGGACAGATCCCGCCCCTACAGCACTTCCCTCCTCTTCCCTTGATCCCTCCTCACCCACGTCAGGTCCCCTTAGAGACAGGACTGTTTCTGTGCCCGCGAGCTGAGATCGTGGGAAAGAACACAGGGCATGGGGTAGAGTCCCCAGGTATGGTTTCTGGTTCTGTTACCCACCACCTTGTGACCTGGTGCACATCAGTTATCCCCCCACCAAGCCCTGGCTTCTGGCGGGCAACATGGCGGTAAGAGCTCTCGCCTTCCAGGGTCGTGTGAGCACAGCCAAGGTAGTTGCAGGTGAAGTGCAGGGAGCAGTGCCCCGAGCATCCGTGCTGCTAACTCATGCCAGTGGTGGTGAGGACGGAGGTAGGGCAGAAGGAAGAACGAGGGAGAGGAAGGAACGGAGGGTGTCCACCATAGTCTCGTTTTAAAGTGATTTAATGAGATTATGCACTTCTGTCTCGGTCGTCCCTGTAAGGTGGCTATATAAGGGGGTGACATTTGATCCATTTTGCAGACAAGAAAAACAAAGTGTGGCGAGGGTCAGTGATGTGCCCCCGGGGATTGCTGGGGGTGGGACCCAGACTCTGGCTCCGAATTCAGTGCTTCCTCGTTACCTAAATTTTCTGATAAATAAGCAGCTAGCTGGTGAAGAATGAAGGAATTTCTCCTCCCTAGGACATTTGCAGCGCTGAGCAGAAGCACCCACAGGCTTGTCTAATGCCCTGTTCTCCCCATAGGCTCACTCTGCTTTCCTGGAAGACAAGTTCCCAACTTGAGGGTTTTATTTAATTTTTTTCAAATTCGAACACACCTACTTTCCACCTGCATATTCTGGGATAAGTCCTTTCATCTCTACACAGTTCCATTTTTCGTTTCTAGAGTAAAATGGGAATCTTCCTCCTTGCCTTCATGGGGTGTGTTAAAGGCCAATATTTATGAACACATTTCGTTAGCTGTGCAAGTGGTAATCATTTCAAAAGCGAGGACAGTCACGGTTTCGTTATTGAGAGGTTGGCTGTTGTTCCCTAAATGGCCAAAGGGTACAGTCCTCTGCCCCTGGATTTGTCCCAGATCCTGTCTTAGGCACCTGGCTGTGGACCGTGAGGATTTTCCACATTGCCACGTTGTCGATCCCTTTTTCCGCCCCAACATAAGGACAGCAACACTTCCTTTTTACTCCTAGATTCTGACATGGGGTCTCGGTCTGAGTCTATGGGATGCAGAAAAGACACGGAACCAGGGCCAACGTCTCCAACAGAACCAGGTACCGGCCCCGAAACCTTTTATATACTTGGTGTGTGGCTGGAGTCAAGATGGCGAGGCCAAGGGTCTAGTCGGTGGATGGACTTGTTAGCATCGCTCCGTTACGTAGCCATGGACGGCCCTCTTAGCTTTTAACCCCAGTTATTCACTTCACAAATAGGGACAGCCATTCAGTGGGGCCATTGGCACAGAAAGCAAAGTGAGATCATGGCCACGTCAACAGTGCTACTGGAAAGCAAAACAACCCTCATCCCAACACCGGCAAAAATCGATTAAAGGGCAAGTTTCATCTGACTGTGGTCAGTGAGTGTGAGCAAAAGGTACCTAATCTGGAATTGTGCAGTGAGTGGGATTTCTAGAGAGTCTTTTGAGAAAGGGTCATTTCGTGCAGCGGACGATAGAAATCCATACATCAATAGGGACAGAATGTATGTGCGGTCTCAGACGCTATCCCTAGCTGTTGCAATTGTTGTTTCTTAGGTGGGGCTAAAACTCAGGGTGGAAGCCAGAAGGAGGAAAGAGGGGAGGGGAAGGAGGAGGAGGAGGAGGAGGAAGAGAAAGGACGGGAAGGGAAGGGAGAGGAGAGGCAGGTTAGTCTATCGGCACAGGGGAGACAGCATGGCCCAACGAAGGGAACACCACATTGCAAAGCAGATAGATTAGGACTTGAGCCTTTTTTTTTTTTTTTTTTTTTTTTTTTTTTTTTTTTTTTTTTTTGGCCACTTACCGCTAACTCCACGGCCATGGGCACTTTGCTCACCTGATAAGAGCCTTGATTCATCATGTGGAGAATGTACCTTGCTTTCCGCTAATCCCATCATAGATGACATGGCAGTTAAAGCCCCTGGCATATCGCCTGGTGCTTAACAGATGCCACCAAATTCATAGCCTCTTCCTCCCTCTACCCAGGGCTTTTGTCCAGATCCAATGAGATAATGTACAGAAACCACCAGCAATAGGGCTCATCCCATAGAAGTTGGGCAATTATGAGTTCATTCCGCATCCCTAAGAGTTGCAGGACCCAAGGGTGGAGCCCTGGTTTAAACTGCAGGTTCTCAGCCCCGGAGAGCAGGGTTCAAACCCCACCTCTGCCTCTATCTGCCTGTGCAACCCTCAGTCACCTGCCCTGAGCCTCGGTTTCCCCTTCAATAAATGAGAGAGGGAGCGGTACCCATAAGGCAGGGCAAGTGTGGGAATGGGAGCAAGTAACACTGAACTTGCGGTGGCGCAGAGCAGGTGCTGAAGAATTAGTGGCTGTTGTTAGGTGGTGGCAGTGATATCGGTGATGATGATCCAGCACGAAGCCTGGCTCCTAGCAAGCCTTCCTCAAAGTTCTGTCCTCAGGCCTCTCTGTTCCTGTAACTGCACATCAGACAGCAGATCCCAGTTCAGGATGGAAACTAGGGTCAGAGGACATATTCCTGTCCGATGCTGTTAGCAGTGATGTCTTCTGAACCTTCAGAGGTTTTCCAGTGGAGGCTTTAATTTTGCCAGCAGGGTGGTGGGAGTGGGGGGCGGGGGCGGGCGCCTGTGCAGAAGGCCGTCCCTCCTTTGATCTCATCAAGCTCCCTCTCAAGCATTTGGCCTCGTGTCTTCTGCACCATGGCCTAGACCTTGCTGATCTTTGCTAGCTGTGCTGGCAAGGCGTTCTGCCCTTCAGAGCCTCCCAAACACGAGGCTGGTGTTCAAGTTTATCTACTGCCGGCCATTGTCTTCTGGCTGAAGCAAGGGTGAGTTCAAAACTCACGAGGGAGGGAGGCAGAAGAGAGCAAACCCCCTTCCTGAGCCTCCTGGTGGCGGGCCCTGCACTTGGTATTTTGTGTGTATCTCTTCTCGCAAAACATAGGACAGTTCTGCCGACCGGTATCGTTGTTCCCGCTTTATCAGAGCGATATGAGACTCGATGCCTGTTATCCCTGTCCAACCAGTCCAGCCAGAAGCAAGCTTAGCGGTGCCAGTTTCAGACTGTTATTCTCAGCACCTCCAAGCCTAGGTTCCTACAGATCTGCAGCCACTCCTTGGCTTTCCGGTGTGGCTCAGGGCCTGACTCCTGGGTGGCCCCGGTAACTGAGCAGGCCAGGGGTTTGGTTTGATTTGCAGAAATGAAATTTCTTATTTTCTTATTTTTTTAACTGAGCCAGTAATTTTTTAAATTGGGAGACTTTATATAAATTCAGATTTCAAGCTTCTTGGGAAAACAGAGGAAAAGCTCTGGCAATACAGGCTGATTTCAGCCTGGCGACCGTCCCAGGGAGTTGAGCTGCCCCTGCCATCGGGACATGGCTCTCCCGTTCGCGGCGATCCCCGCCCTGTAGCTAGGTGCTTGTACTGGCCCCTGCTGTCCTGGGCATGTGTTGATTCCCCCAGCCTTGATTGCCTTGAGGTCCTCGGGAACCAATGAACAGATTGAAGCGACTTGGGGCAATTCTGGACTTAGTTTTTTTTGGCAAAATCATCGTACACACACTATGTCAGGCCATATCTCTAAAACCATCACATGGCTCCCACAGGAAGGACCACCCCGCCCCCCCATCCCACCTCCTGCCACAAGGAGCTGGGCCCCTACTGAACCCAAGAACCTTGGAGGATCAGGCTGAATAGACCCAGCTCAGCTCACGGTTTTTCCCGCCTCCCGACTGATTACATTCTGTTTGGGAAGATAACACCCCTGCAGGAGGGCCCCTTTGATCTGCTCTCCTCTGCAGCCCGGCCATTTCATTGGCTTGTTTACCTGGCCTGTGATAAAATAGCCCCTCCCGATTCAAAGCACCAGGGGAGCACTTGTCCCCTTCTGCTCAGTGTTACTTCAGTGAGTCTGAGTGTTTGGGACACACACAGGGGAAAGGCTCCAACAGAGCAACTCCCTGTCACCTGGCCAGGCCTGTACCCGGCCTCCTTGCCTCAGTCAGAACAGAAGGCAAAGGAATTCTTCGAATAATTGTAAACCAAGTACAAACTGGGTAGACTCTGCGTATTCATTCTACAGATCCACCAGACACTTTTTGAGCACAAGTGCCATGCTAACTTCACCGGGACATTAGCAGGCTAGCGGGCTGCCCCACGTGCCAGCCATGGCGACAGGCGTAAAAGAGAGCTACAATGGGGACAGGTCAGCCAGTGTGGTGGGGATCGGGGGTAGGGGAGGATGCTGAAAGCGGCCTGGGGGGTCCAGAAAAGGCTTCTCAGAGCCTGGAGGATCGCCAGGCATTTCCAGCCTCTTTTCTTAAAGGCTCTGAGGCAAAGTGATCCCGAGAGGACTTCAACTTTGTCTTTCAGACCTCGTGTGTTCTTTTTTTTCTTTCTTCCTCTGCTGTCTTAAGAGTGATATCACGGGCAGGCATGCAAACTGCCATTGGCCTGCAGTAAGAGAGCTTTGTTTTCTAAAAAATGTTTATTCATTTTTGAGAGGAAAACAGAGACAGAGTGTGAGGCGAGGGGAGGGAGGGCAGAGGGAGGCAGCAGGATCGAAGCAGGCTCAGGTTCTGAGCTGTCAGCCCAGAGCACAATGGGAGCTCACCGAACCTTACAAACATGGCCATGACCTGAGCTGAAATTAGGACAACCCAGCGTGAGCCACCCAGGCCTGCCCCATTTTTAAAGAGAGAGCTTTTTTTTTTTTTTTTTTTTTGCCCATTGTACAATAATATTAAGTTCAAGAACCCAGAGAGAAGGCTTGGGAGGCACAGAGAAGGCGACATTGTCTGGGGGTCTCTGCCAGGAGGAGCTAAACTTCTGGCCTTGGCAGATGTGAGTAAATGTCATCTCCGTTGGTGGTTTTTTGTTGGTGAGAAAGTTCAGTCTTCACGAACTGCCTCATGGAGCATGGAAAGTGAGCCTCTGGAAGGTGCTCAAGTCCAAGGCAAATGGGGTCCCATCTGGGATGTGATGCCAGATCCCTGGGCTGAGGGGGCATTTGTAAATGCGTTGCCTCATCCCCATGAACTGCTTCAGCATGTGCAGGTAGCGCCTATGCAAAGTCAGACCTCTCGTGAAGGGAACATCGGGCCCCTCAGCACTGCCAGGGGAGCCTCTTTAGAGTGCCTGGCACATCAGGGCAGGAGGAACAGCATTGGTCCTTGAAGCACAGGAGGACTAGGTAGGTGGTGAGCACAGTCCAGCAGTCCTGGGCAGCAAACGATGTGTGATGTGTGCTCCTGGAGCATGAGTCAGGAGGCAGCTGCAGATAAAGCTTAAACGCAAGTGGAGCCTGGACCAAGAAAGAAGGCTGCACTTCTGTCCCATGTGGTGGCAGGAGCACCCAGAAAGATCGAAGCCAGCGATCATGGTGAGGATACGGGGCGACTAAAGGGATAGCAAAGCTGCGGCTTGCGGTGTGGGGCCGAGCAGAGCTGTCTTGGCTAAAATGTAGGCTGCCACCATCTGGGAGAGAACAGCACTTCTGCATGGCTTCAAAGACAGGAGCATCAGTGGCTCAAGTGACCAGTGGACTCCACAGAGTCCCCTGG